TGTACAGATTTGTGATCGTGGTGGTGGCGTCTCTCGGACTATCTTGGAACGACTGTTCAACTATATGTACAGTACTGCCCCACCTCCCCCTAGAGATGGCACACAAGCCCCTCTTGTAAGTTTTTTTGAACATTCCAAACTTTTCTTCTCTTGCTCCTTTATTCATTTTTTGATTACACATCTTCGTTGTGTTCTTTTCTAAGTGATAATATTGACTTTAGCTGCAATCAATTCTGCTTTTTCTACTCATTCACCTCTGACCCTTCTTTGATCGCTATGCGATGCTCCAGGTGCTGAATATTTCTGTTTTAGGCTGGATACGGTTATGGACTTCCACTCTCTCGTCTCTATGCGCGCTACTTCCTTGGTGATCTTTTCCTTGTTTCTATGGAAGGATATGGAACTGATGCTTGCATATACATGAAGGTGAGTATTCTGCAGCAAAATTTATTTTTGCATCAATTTTCATTGAAATTATTGGCTTTTTCTTTCTAGGCAGTGCCGATAGAGGCTAGTGAAGTACTTCCCATATATAGCACCTCGTCTCGCAGAAATCTAACAATGGGACCGCAAGTGGCCGATTGGTCTCACAACTTACCTGGACAAGGAATGAGACCTGGATAACCATGCATTAGCTGATCTTCTTTGAAAACAAGAATTTGTGCTGGCGAAACAACTTGAGATTAGAGGTTCGGGTGCCTTCCTCTTTGTTTGACCGGTCAATGTTCATTAATACCGTTTTTATATAAATATTTATCATATAAGGATGTATCAAAGCCAAATGAAGCTGAGTTGTTGATATTTATACAGTTTTGTATGTATATTTCATTTATATCCCGGGTTTGCTAGAGAGTTCTGCACTAATGTGCTAGGTATCTCTTTCATTCTTGAGTATCGTACTGCCTATCTTGTAAATACTTAGCGTTTAGCTCTAACCCGAACTAATCGGTGTTATTTGTTAAGAGAATTCTTATTCTACTGACCTGTTATCGATACCTTTTTGCTTGCTTTTCTCTTTACGTTAGTCTTAAGATATGCATATGTTTTCATCGTTTCTAACAACGAAGTATGTGTTTGACCATTAAACTACTTTTAAAACAGTCTTTTATGTTCATATTGTTGTTTTACTTGACTAATAAAAATGTGCAATGATTGTTCATATTATTCAAATCTAAAGTCAGATAACTCCAAGTATCAAACCACAAAAGGATGAGATTAGC